AGGAGAGATGTCTGTCCCACGGAGACAGCTCATTTCCAAAGGGCTTGGCACTCCCTGGATCTGAAGTCATTGCAGCCTCCTTGTTTATTTCATTCAGGTTCTGACTTTTTATTTATTCACCCAACAAATATATAATGAGCACCTCCCAAGAGTCAGGCCCCGTGCTGAATTTTACCGGGAAGGCGGAAGTGAGGGGGGGATGGAAAGATGAAGCAGACATGTGACAGGTAGCTGAGCCCCTCTGAACCCATTTCCTCTTCCATACGTTGGGGATTGTAGTGGTATCTACCTCATAGGGTTGTTGTGGTAAACGAGATAATCCACATGGAGCATTTAGCCCAGTGTCTGCTTGTAGCAACTACCATGTCCCTTTTCCTAGACAGCTATTAGAGGATATGCTCCTGCAAAATGAGGGAATAAAGCAAAAAAAGAGAAAGCTATGGAGCCCAGGAAGCAAGGAATCTGATTAGTTAGGTTAGATGCTGTGCCTCATCAGTGTTAGCTGTGATGATGGTGAGTTTTAGACCAGGTGATGCTGAGTTGGTGAGGGTTGAGTTGGAATCTCTGCTCTGCCACTTAGTGGCTGTGGGATCTCACCCTGTTATTTAACGCTCTGATCTGACCTCCTCGTCATAAAGTGGAAATCCTAACACTGACCTTATCAGGCTCCTGTGAGTGTTAAGCGAGGCGGCATCTGCGACGTGCCCAGCACACAGTCAGCGCTTCTGGTTTGGGAAGGGGTGAGCTGTCCGACAAGTTTGACAAAAAGTAGAATAGAGTACGTGTTCAGAGAATGGAGGTAACTGATTGATTCTTTATACTGAAATGCCTTAAATGGTTCCAACTATTGACATAGATAATTTTTTTTTACCATGATAATACATATGTCATGCAGAGATAAAAAGTAAAGTAGGCTTGTCATGAAAAACGTCCATCCCCAGCCCTGATCCCCAGAGGCAGCTACTTCTCTTTTTCTCCATGTCGTTTTCTTCTGTTATCTACCTCCTTATTTCTAAATAACATGCTTATGTTGCTATTTATCGATATGTTGGTTTTAAGACATTATTTATTGACACGCCTTTAGGTGGATGATAATTTAGCTCCCTTTTCCTAGTTCCCCACTCCATGCACTTCGCCTCCCCCCACCCCCGCCATCATCTCGGTACATTTAGATCAGTTTTACGTGTTACATTATCGTGACCAGGTAAATATTGTTCGTGTTGAAGCAAGTTGTATGCTGAGATTATGTTTCCTTTCCTATCTTTTTGTTTTTTCCAAAGTTAATATCGCCTCTCTTTTTTTTTTCACTTGCTGAGGTTTTTTTAATGTACCTATCCTCAATTTTTTCTTTCTGACTCTCAGACCTGTCATTTGCCTAATAATGATATTTCCTAAATTACGAAATATATCAGATCATGGTTCATTATTTTCCCCTTGGCAGTCTGCATCTAGTGGGCCCTCCATGATCCTGCCAGGATCTTGGCCAGCTGCTTTTTACTGCATCCCTCTCATCCTGCAACTTCCCTTGCTGCTCTGTTTCCTGGCCTTCATACCTTCTTCTTCTTTATCGTTTTATTCCCTCGTTTTACTGGAGCATAGCCTGCAGTAGCTTCCTAAGAAAGGGTGCATGGGCTATAAATGTTTAGAGTCCTCACCTTTCTGAAAATAGCATCATTCTCTTTTCACACGTAATAGTTTGGGTAGGTATAGGATCCTAGGTTTAGAAGTATATTCCATTGGAAATGTGAAGGCATCACCCAGCTTCCAGCATTACTGTCAAAAGATCTGATGCCAAACTAACTTCTAGTCCTTTGCACATGACCTAATGCTTTCTCCCAGGAGGATTTTAGGGTCTTCTCTTATTCCCTGGTGCCCCGAAATTTCAGAATGATATTCTGAGAAGGTTATTTCCACTGAGTGTACTGAGCACTTAAAGGACCCTTTAAAACTGAAGACTCAGGACTTTTCCTGGTGGTGCAGTGGATAAGACTCTGCACTCCCAATGCAGGGGGCCCGGTTTCGATCCCTGGTCAGGGAACTAGATCCCACATGCATGCCACAACTAAGAGTTCACATGCCACAACTAAGGAGCCCACGTGCTGCAACTAAGGAGCCCGCCTGCTGCAACTAAGACCTGGTGCAACTAAATAAATATTTTTTTAAATAATAATAAATAAAAAATAAATAAAACTGAATACTCATGTTTTTACATTTGGAGAATCCTCTAATACTATTTTCTCTGATAATTTCATCCTATAATTGATATTGTATCCCCATAAGATATACAGGAAAGGAAGCATAATTTCTGCATGATTTCTATTTATTGGATATTAGACCTTCTAAATTGACTTCATTTTCCTCCTTTCTTATTTTCCTTCTCTTAACTTTTTGTTAACTTTCGGGGTGATTTCCTCGACTTTATCTTCCAAACTTTCTATCGATTATAAACTTCGGCTACTTTATTTTAATCATGAAGAACTCTTTCTTGTCCTTTGCTCCCTTGTCAAAGCACCCTACTATTGTTTTATGACTGCAGTATCTTATCTAATCTCTTAATGGATTTTAATTGTTGGATTGTGTTTTTTCCGTTTTCTCTTAACGCCGTTTTCCTGTATCAGTTTGTCTATTTCGATCTCTTCCTTTCACGTGGGGACTTTGCTTAAACCTTAAGTGCCCCTTGCCTCTCTGTTTATCCTCATGTGGGAGGGAACAAAAACTGTGCCTGCAAGTTCTGCTTGCACGATGGGCTTCCCTGGAGCGTGAATAATCACTGGCTGACTGTGCTTGAATAACACCAATGACGGGGAGCTCATAACTCCCCAAGCAATTGACTCCTCTTTTGAGAAGCAGGAGTTATTCTTCTGAACCCTGAGCCAATGTCTGGCGTCTTAGAACTTGGTTTTAGTTCTGTCTTGAGTTTGTGTGTTAAAGTGATATTTCAGGGAGATTTTGTACATACACGTTCTGGTTTGAGTCATTTAAAAGGTAAACTTTTTTAAAAAAGGCAATTCTAGGGGCTGTATGGTAGTGATTAAGTCCACATCCAGCCTTCCATGCTAATCATATGACTTGGAACCTCTCCCAGGTTTGACTTTCTTGGCTATACTGTGGTGATGACGGTGATAACGGTGATGATGGTGGTGGTGGTGGTGATAAAGCCACCTGTCTCAAAGAGTTCTTGAGCAGTTAGGCTTAGCCGAGTGCCTGGCAGACTAAGTCGTCTATAAACACAGGGATGATGTTTCCAGCAGTTAAATGTCATACCTATGAGTTAATCGCTCAGGAGATGTAGCCGATACATTTTCCCCGACCTCAGGACCAAGTCTTCGAGGGTGAACTCAAAATTCAAAGGGCAGAAATGGAAAGTTCAGCCTCATTACTGGGTGTCTTGTGCCTCAGTTTCCCCAAACTACATTGACACATCATCGGATAGTACAAACCTGCTTTCCCTTTCCTGCAATTAAAACCTCTCCTACTATGAATTTTCTTAAAGGTTTTTCTTCTGATTACAAAAGAGGAAAAAAGCAAACTTCTTTGTTTAATGCAAATACAGAGAAGTATCATTTCCCTGGGCCTCCCTGGGCCTTGGTTTGTTGGGCTGAGGACGGCCCTGCCCGTAGATCTCCTGCTCCCCCAGCCCTCGCCCGGGGCCCTCCAGCCGAGGAGACCAAGGAGACAGTGCCCTCCATAGAAGCATGTCGCCGCCACCTCCCCGGGGCTGAGGGGCTGAGACAGCAGCTGACTCCGATCCAAGCTGACACCCAACGAGAAGAGCTGCCGTCAGCCCTGGGAGATCTTGTGTCATCTATGATTAAGCCTCAAAGCCAAAACCCAACCAGTTTCTGATTAAACGATGGCATCCCAGGGTCCCTGTCACCCCCGAGTGGAGCTGTGGGTTTGGAGCAGCCGTCTGCCAAGGGTACCCTGGCAGCTGTCAAGACAGGTGTCGGGGCTTCCCTGGTGGCACAGTGGTTAAGAATCCGCCTGCCAATGCAGGGCACATGGGTTCAAGCCCTGGTCCGGGAAGATCCCACATGCCACGGAGCAACTAAGCCCGTGCGCCACAACTACCGAGCCTGTGCTCTAGAGCCCGTGAGCTGCAACTACTGAGCCCCCGAGCCACGACTACTGAAGCCCGCGCGCCTAGAACCTGTGCTCCGCAACAAGAGAAGCCACCACGATTAGAAGCCCGCGCACTGCAACGAAGAGTAGCCCCCGCTCGCCGCAACTAGAGGAAGCCCCGCACAGCAACGAAGACCCAACACAGCCAAAAATAATAAATAAATAAATAAAATTACCATCTCTCAAACCACTAAAAAAAGTTAAAAAAAAAGAAGAAGACCGGCGTCAGCTCCTCCTGACCTTCTCAGGGTCTGCGCTTCCCCCCCACCGCCCCCCCCCCACCGCCCCCTCCTCTACCACCCTTTCTCCAGAAGGAGAGCCAGCCCTTTCCCTCAAAACCCACAGCCCCAGCTGGGCTCCTGGAGGGACTGGCTGGGCATGACGGCTTTGCCAGTCACCGTAAGGAATGCCGCCCTGGGGAAGTGACAGCGTGTTCCTGCCCAAAACCACGGCGAGCAGAGCTGAGACGTCACTCACAGTGAAGGGAACGTTTCTGGACTCAGGAGTTTGGTTTGCTGCTTCTGACCTGATGAATTACTAGCTGATTAGAACCTCTACACTCTGCAAATGCTTCTGTCAAAGACTTCTCACGAGCTTCCACCCGGCCATGAGCAGCCCCACAGGTGGCCTTCTCTCCACTCCCAGAGTCTTGGGACCTGGGGCCAGTGGCCTTTCCCGGCTGTCCATCGGTGGGAACAAAAGCCCTTCTCCCCCAGCAGCTCCAGGCCACAGTCCACCGCGTCCCTGTCACCTGAAGAGATGCAGGCCCTGGGATTGTGTGGCCTTTGCTTCCAAAGCAGCGGGCCCCTTTGCTGCTTGAATGGTTCTGTCTCCAACCTGTGGCCTTGTTTCAAGTCATATTATCTTTCCTCTTACAGATCCTGCCCATCAGACCTCCACATCCGGAAGGAAACTGGCTCAGGGAAGGACCAGCCCCAGCCAGAAGGAGTAAAAGGAGTAAAAGTCACCTCCTGTCCATTGGGCGCCGACTCTATGCCAGGTACTTCACGTGTCTCCTTTATGTAAAATAAATAGAAAGCGAGGTTACCTGAGACCTGCCAGGGGAGCAGGGAGGGGAGGGTTCCAGGCCGAGGGAGGTGCAGGAAGCAGGTTCTGAGCGAGCGGGCACCTGGTGGAGAATCAGAGACCGTCAGGCGAGGTGCGACCGTGGGGGCTGGTGGGGGGCCACCCTCAGCTCGGAGGTCAAGACAGAGATGCTGAATTGTATCATAGCAGCAGCTGGGGCCACACGGTCCATGTTTCCAACGAATGGCGGAGGGACGTGAGACCAGCAGCTGCCGTGGAGTTTGTCCACCGGCAGGTAGTCTCCTCGAGCCTGTAAGAACTTGAGCAAAATAGCCCTTCCTGCAGAATGTGGCCCAGGAGGCTTGAACCTGCTTTTTCTGGCTGTGTGTAGAAAGACAGATGTGGTCTAGGGTTTGACTCAAGACCAAGCCAGACCCTGCTGAGGGTACTGTCCGAGTTGCCATCAACTCTGGCCACAGTTGAGGGGAGGGAGGACCGTCCAGCCCGATAGGCTGTTAAAGCTCAGGGCCTCGGTGTCTAAGAGTGTGTTTCCGAGCAGATGCTTCATCCAGGTTCCTCCAGGTGATGGGGCCGAGTCAGGCTGAGTTACAGGGAAGCGTTTGAGAAGAGAAATACCTTTGCAATTGTGGTCAAGGTGGGGTTTTTTTCTTTTGAGCCTAGCTACACTATCCAAAGTTTCTGTCCATGAAATATTTCATACGTTTTTATACACACACACACGCACACATAAAAATGTGTACGTGTATCAGTGAAACAAAGAACAGTAAAATGGAGACGCGTGTCCCAGCTGAAGCAGTATTTCCCAGGATCAGCCGTGTCACCTATGTGTCCCACCACGTCACAGCCGTCCTGCTGCCCTCACCCTTCTGACGTTTATCAGACCCCTGCTCTTCGGTATAGTTTTGCAGTATGTCCTCAACCATATAGCTGAGTTGCGTACGTTTGGGAAATTCCTTGGGCGCTCCCCTATCGCACTTAATCTTTCGCGACTTGCCTTTACACTCAGCGTCACCTCCCCGAGGTCCGTCCGTGTTGACGCATAAGCCGGAGTTCTTTTCCCCTGCCCTGCTGTAGGGTATGCCGTCGTTGAATACGCACATTATTGACCCCCTCTACTTGTGTCGGGACGTCTGTGGGGTGTCCAGGTTTTTCGGATACACGATGCCTCTGTTGAATATTCATGCACGAGTCTCCAGCTGAAATTAATGGGGAGATTCTTGAAGGTCTGTAGCAAGGACCAGACAGCACATGTGGCCGAGGCTTACAGGGCTGGGAAGTAGAGCTATACACGCAGAGAGAGGACTCTGGCCACTTCTCAGGGGCCCTCGGGGTCTCTCGCTGCAGCTCCACCTGGCAGACCAGCTGCCTCCGCCTCCATAGCCTCGACCTGCCTGGGGCTCTGCTTTACCGTGGCCAAGTTCTAGCCTCCACTGTGGCCACCCTGATGCCACCTTCTAGCTAACTCCCCACAGCACATCACCCGCGCCACTGTCTCTTTGGCCCATAGGAAATTCCCAGGTCAAGGGATTGGCCTAGTGCACCCAGCCTCAGGGCTGGTCCTCTTGGAGCAGGTCGGTCGGCTGTGGCTGGAGGGTTTGTCTGGTACAAACAGGATGTCAGGGCTGTGGCCATCTGAGGGCGTGGGCAGGAAGGCAGATGTTACATATCGGCGTATCTGTTTCCCTAGACTTGGCTGTCGTCTTTGTTCATTTTTCTTTTTCTCCTTTTTCAAACTATACACATAATACACTGATAGGTGTGTGTGTTGTAAACGCTAAAACAGTATAGGTAACGTCCAAGTCCTCCTGGCCAGTAACCTCCGAATTCCTCCCTCTTCTTAGATAGAATCAGTATAATCAGATCCTCTCAAACTTTTCCCCTCCCTCCTTCTTCCCCTCCCCTCCCCTCTCCCTATTTCTCTCTCCCCTTCTCTTTCACACACACACACACACACACACACACACACACCCCTACACATACACACCCCTACCTATATAATTATAGGTATTGCATTACATGAATGAGTTTATACTGTGTTGTGATATTTTTTCTGACACCAAATGTACAGTGTTTTCTTGACACCAAATACATGTCATTGTTTCACACATCCACCAATTCTCTGACACCAACTGGGTGTCCAGCAATCCAGTTCAATTCTGACACTAACTTTCCAGAGGCAGCAAAGAAGCCACAGGCTAAGGGCTCAATCCCACAAGCCTGCCCCCGCCTAGGATGGTGGCCCCAAACCCAGGGCCACCTGCCCTCTACCTGAGCAGCTCTAAATCAGCGTCTCCCACAGCCTCCTCGCCAGGTGCAGTAATTTGCTGGAATGGCTCACAGAACTCAGGAAAACACTATACTTATTATAACAGTTGATTTTAAAGGATACAAATGAAAACACACATGAGGAGGTCCGGAAGGGTCCCGAGCACAGGAGCCTCTGTTCCCATGGAGCTGAGATGAGCCGCTCGCCCAGCATGTGCTTGAATTCAGAAACTTGGAAGCTCTTTGCCCCCCATCACTGAGGGATTTTCATCAAGGTGCTGTTACGTGTGTGATGGATTAAATCATTCTCTGTTGGTGACTGAGTTCAATCTCTAGCCTCTCTCACCTCCCCTGAGGCAGGAATGTGGGGCTGAAAGTTACAACCTTCTAATCACTTGCCTGGTTCTTCTGGCATTCAGCTCCCATCCTAAAGCTACTAGGGGCCCCTTACCCAAGAGTTATCTTGTTACCATACAAAAAGCATTCACACTCTTGTCACTCTGTGCTGGGAACCAGGGGCAAAGACCAAATATATTTTTTAATTATACCACATGTACGTGTGTACGTATTTACTTTCATTTTTTTAACATCTTTATTGGAGTATAATTGGTTTTCAATGGTGTGTTCGTTTCTGCTGTATAACAGAGTGAATCAGCTATACGTATACACATGTCCCCACATCTCTTCCCTCTTGCGTCTCCCTCCCTCCCTTTAGTTTTTTAAATAAACGATGTCTTGGGATCTTTTTATGTCACCACATACTTTCAAAATGTTATTCTGTATGCAAGAGGGTCATGGAGTATCTGCTGAAGAATTTGGATTGTCTACATTTTTTTCCTATTATAAATAGTGCTAAATTTTCAAGTAAAAAACGGGGGGGAAATTAAATCTCCATTATAGGGAAATGAAGAAATAAATTATGGTATATTCTTGCAATGGAATAATACATCCAACAGTTAAAAATGAATAAACCAATAAAAATTAACGGACTGCCAGATTAGATTGAAACAACGAGATCACGTGTGTACTATCGACAGGACAAAAACCTTGCATCCAAAGGTACAAGGAGGTTGAAAGTAAAAGGATAGAAATATAGACTATGCTAAAAAGAATCATAAAAGAGCTAGAGTGGCTTATATCAGACAAAATAGACGTTAAAACAAAAGCGTTACTAGAAATAAAGAAGAGATTTCATAATGATAAAAGTGTCAACCACCAGGAAGTTATAACAGTTATAAATATAACCTAACCCAAACAACAGAGCCTCAAAATACATGAAGCAAAAACTGACAGAACTGGGGCTTCCCTGGTGGCGCAGTGGATGAGAGTCCGCCTGCCGACGCAGGGGACACGGGTTCGTGCTCCGGTCCAGGAGGATCCCACATGCCGCGGAGTGGCTGGGCCCGTGAGCCGTGGCCGCTGGGCTGCACGTCCGGAACCTATGCTCCGCAACCGGAGAGGCCACAACAGTGAGAGGCCCGCATACTGCAAAAAAAAAAAAAAAAAAAAAAAAAAAAAAACCTGACAGAATTGAAGGGAGAAATGTAAAATTCAACAATAATAGCTGGATGGAGATTTTTAATACTCTACTTTCAATAATGTATAGAACAATAGACAGAAGATCAACAAGGAAATAGGAGACTTGAACTTGGACTTGTCTATAGTACGTGCCACCTAACAGCAGAATACGTACTCTTCTCAAGCCCCCACCTGGAATGTTCTTCATATGCTGGTCCATACAACAAACTTCAGTAAGTTTAAAAGGATTGAAGTGATCCAAAGTATGTTTACCAACCACAATGGAATTAAATTAAAAATCAATAACAGAGAGTAATTTGGGAAGTTAACAAATATGGGAAATTAAACATCACACTTCTAAATAACCAATAGGTCAAGGAAATCACACAAGAAAATAGAATATTTACTTTGAGACAAACGGAAATGAAAATGCAACATACTGAAACTTAAGTGGTGTCACTAAAGCAGTGCTCGCTCAGAAGGGAATTTATAGCTATCAGTGTTAATACTTTTAAAAGATCTCAAATTGGTAACCTAACCTTCCACTTTATGAAACTAGAAAAAGAAGAGCAAACGAAAACTGAAGCAAGGATAAGAAAGGAAGTAATACTATTAGGACGAAAATAAACGAGTTAGAGGAGAGAAGAGCAATCCAGAAAATGAATGAAACCAAAAGTTGTTTCTTTGAAATTTCAACAAAATTGACAAACCCTTAGCTCGACTGACCAAGAGAAAAAGAGAGATGATCCAAATTACGAGAATCAGAAATAAAAGAAGGGACATTACTACCAACCTTACAGAAATAAGAGGCAAAATAAAGATAAAGGAATAATATGAACAGTTGTTTCTAATAAGTTCGGTTACTTACATGAAATGGACAAATTCCTAGAAAGACACAAATTACTGAAACTTAAGAAAAACAGGAACCTACAACAAGTAAAGAATTAGTAATCAAAAACCTACCTACTGGGGCTTCCCTGGGGGCGCAGTGGTTGAGAGTCCGCCTGCCGATGCAGGGGACACGGTTTCGTGCCCCCGTCCGGGAGGATCCCACATGCCGCAGAGCGGCTGGGCCCGTGAGCCATGGCCGCTGAGCCTGTGCGTCCGGAGCCTGTGCTCCGCAACGGAAGAGGCCGCAACAGTGAGAGGCCCGCATACCGCAAAAAAAAAAAAAGAACAAGAAAAGGATGTGCATTCTTGCCTCTTCTGTGTAACATTGTGTTAGAAATTCTAGCCTGGGAAATTAGAGGGAAAAAAAAAGAGAAGAAAAGCCATCCAGATTGAAAAGACAGAAGTAAAACAGTGTAATTGCAGATGACATTATCTTATACATAGGAAAGTCATATAGAAAACATCCTATCATAAGGAATCCACTAACAAACTGTTAGAACTAGTAAATGATTTCAGTAAATCTGCTGGATGGAAGAGCAATATACAGAAGTCATTTATTGCATAGCCATATGTTAACAATGAATTTTATTCAACAAATAAAATTAAGAATACAGTTCACATTTACAATGCCATCAAAAAGAATTTAAATACTTAGGAATAAATTTAGCAAAAGAAGTGTACACTGAAAACTACAACATATTGCTGAAAGAAATTAAAGAAGATCTAAATTAATAGAAACACATCCCATATTCTTGGAGCATGACAATTGCTAGATAGTAATACTGTTCAAATTGATCTACATATGCAACAGATTCACTACCAAAATCCCAACTACTCTTTTTTGCAAGTATTGACTAGTTGATCCCTAAAATTCATATGGAATTGCAAGGGGACTGGAATAGCCAAAACAATCTGAAATGGGAAGAGCAAGGTTGGAAGACTCATACTTCCTAATTTCAAAACTTACTGCACATTGACAGTAATGAAGACAGTGTGGTACTGGCATAAGGATAGACATATAGGTCAATGGAATAGAATTGAGAGTCCAGAAATGAACACTCACATTTATGGTAAATTGAGTTTTGACAAAGGTGCCAAGACCGTTCAATAGGGAAAGAAGAATCTTTTCAACAGATTGTGCTGGAACAACTCAGTCTCCACATGTAAAAAACAGTTGGACCCTTACCTCACACCATACACAAAAGTTCATTCAAAATGCAACATAGGCCTAAATGTGAGAGTTAAAAGTATAAAACTCTTAGAAAAATAAATAGAAGTACATTTTTATAACCTTGAATTAAGTAATGGTTTCTTAGATACACACCAAAAGCACAAGTGAAAAAAGAAATTGGACTACATCAAAATTAAAAACGTTTGTGCTACAAATAATACCTTTAAGAAAGTGAAAAGGTAACCAACGGAATAGGAGAAAATATGTGCAAATCATATATCTGACTTGTATCCAGAACACATAAAAATTCCATATTAAAGACAAAGGTCCAATTTAAAAATGGGCAGAGGATCTGAAGAGGCATTTCTCATGCACAGATGGCCAATGTGCACATGAAAAGATGCTCAATGTCATTAGTTCGTAGGGAAATACAAATCGAAACCACAGTGAAATACCACTTCCCAGCCATTCAGATGGCTATACTAAACACGATGGACGAGAATAATTGTTGACAATGAGAACCTCATACATTGCTAGCAGGAATAGATTAGGACCTCATACATCGCTAGCAGGAATAGA